GGCGTATCTGAGTGCATGTGTGGTGTGTCTGTGAGTGTGCATGTGTGGTGTGTCTGTGTGCATGTGGTGTCTGTGTGAGTGTGCATGTGTGGTGTGTCTGCATGTGTGGTGTGTCTGCATGTGTGGTGTGTCTGAGTGTGCATGTGTGGTGTGTCTGAGTGTGCATGTGTGGCGTGTCTGAGTGTGCATGTGTGGTGTGTCTGTGCATATGGCGTCTGTGTGAGTGCATGTGTGGTGTGTGAGTGTGCATGTGGTGTGTGTGCATGTGTGGTGTGTCTGAGTGTGCATGTGGTGTCTGTGTGAGTGTGCATGTGTGGTGTGTCTGAGTGTGCATGTGTGGTGTGTCTGAGTGTGCATGTGTGGTGTGTCTGAGTGTGCATGTGGTGTGTGTGCATGTGTGGTGTGTCTGAGTGTGCATGTGGTGTCTGTGTGAGTGTGCATGTGTGGTGTCTGAGTGCATGTGTGGTGTGTCTGTGAGTGTGCATGTGTGGTGTGTCTGAGTGTGCATGTGGTGTCTGTGTGAGTGTGCATGTGGTGTCTACTTTCAGCCTTTTTGAGTATTTATTGGAGATAAAGAGTCTCACAGAGCTTCCTGCCTGGGCTGGCCTCAAACTGTGGCCCTGATCTCAGCCTCCTGAGTAGCTAGAGTTTAAGGTGTGAGCCATCAGTGCCCTTCTTAGTTATCTTTTAATGAAAAATATGAAAACAAAACCAAGAACACCCAAATCCTTTTGTTCTTAAGCTGTCACTTTATTTGGAACAGGACATGTTTGCTTACGTAGAGTGAAGTTCATTCAACACCTTAGGACAAACTATTCCAAAAGCAACTTTTCTTTCAGGAGGGCTGGCATCAGTGGCTTTCTGTACTGCCATCTTTTCACTATGGTGAGTATTTGCTTTATAAATAAATCTATTCTCTGTTGCTGCGTTGCAATCCAACCATGTAACTCAAAGTCTATCCGTGCTGCGATATCCACCATCAGAAGACCTGGTTCTGGTGACACGAAATTCACACTAGCAGTGTCTATAAAACGTATCTTCACAAAGAAACCAGTAATACCGATTAACAGGAGATCCCCCCACCTCCAGCTTGTCTTGTCAATTTCTAGAAGGTTCTCTCAATAAATTATACATATATAAACATACAGTACATTTGTTTGGAAATTGCAAAAATAGTTCTAAAAATTATCAACACATATTAAACAAGTTGCTACGATATGCTTAAAGGGCTATGACAGTATGTCAATATTTTCTTCTAACAAATTGTTTTTGGTCTTACACTGAGGTGAAACGTACAGCCTGTGTTCCTTTTTTTTTCCCTCCTCTGCTAAATGGCACAATGTTTTGACGGCAGGGAAATGCTACTTCCTAAGAACACACAGCGCTCTTTGATTCCAACAGTTCCTGTATTTGCAATGAAAACTGAAACAATCCTAATTGTCTGACATGGGCTACATTGAGTATATTTAAGTTTTTTCATTCCAGGAGATGACATATACCTTTTTATTTTGAAAACACAGATATGATCCTTTATGCAAGCAATGTGTTTGAAAAATCAATTTTCTGCCTCTGTAAGTTCTATTGTCCTGGGGTTGGCGAGGCGGTGCTAATGAGCGGGATTTGATTGTAAAGTGAACTATCTTGTCAAGGGCAGCTTCTATACAAAATGTGCCTTCTCTGTGGCGCTGTCAGTCAGTTTGGGCATATAGCTTTGCTTGACATCCCAGAAAACCTTCTGACTAGAAATGTACAGGTACTCCTGTAAATGTCTTGTATTCCATTTTATAATTCTACAGTGAGGGCTGGGAAGGTGGCTCAGTGGTAGAACGCTTGCCTTGCATGCATGAGGTCCTGGGTTCGACTCCTCAGCACCACATAAGCAGAAAAAGCCGGAAGTGGCGCTGTGGCTCCAGTAGAGCGCTGGCCCTGAGCTGAAGAGCTGAGGGACAGCGCCCAGACCAGAGCTCAGGCCCCACGACTGGCAAAAAAAAAATCTACAGTGACTAAAAATGTACCCAACAGGTAACAGGCAGCATTTTATTTCCCTTAAACGTGCTCTTCTACCCTTCTGTGGCATGTGGCTCACACACACCCATTTTCCTTCACCCACTGGAAGGTGGAAATACCTGAGGATATGCCAGTTATTTAGAGCTGCATTTTTGCTTCTCAACTGCCCATCACTTCTTGACTTGTGTGTGAATTAATGTGAGCTTTATCTTTTGCTAACAGGAGGAGGCGAAGCATCCTCTAGTTTATTAGGAAGGAAACAGCTTCGGAATGTGCAATAACAAGATAACAAACTTTTTTCCAATTAAAAAAATGTAATAAATCTTAGTTACCATAAGCTAAAGTACAGAGAATATGGTGTGTGTCTCTGTAAGAGATATTTACAATTTAAACCAGCTTTTCAGCTAGCTAGGTCAGGTTTCAGATTAATTTACTTTATATATATATACATATACATACATACATATATATATAATACAGAAAGAGAAAATAAATATTAACCTCACAGTCAGTGATTCATCTCTGAAAACCCATTTTCTGTTACGTAGACAATGAGTTGGGCTTCAAGAGGTTGCTTAATGACATATTTCGTTTCCAAGGCCTTGTTCCTGGCTTTCAGCGGCGAGATGCACACCCGCAAATCCGCCCCATCCTCCTTTCAGCCTCTTGGCACCATAGATGTCGGTCAAGTGTATTTTGAGAGAGACTCTAAAGCACAAACAACTCCCCGATTTGAGGCTAAAGCCCTTTGGTGGCCCTGGTAAGTTGCTCAAGCTGCAGTAGATTCAACATTTACCACTGCACTAGGAGAGCCATCCGGGACTGTCTGTCCTCACCTGTCAGCCTGGGGAAATGGGCGCCTGGCTGTGTACACCGGCCCAAGAGGGCACTGCTGACAGCGCAGGGAGGCTGCCAGCCAGCCCGGTGCTGGGGTTACAGCGGCGCGCCCCGATGTTCCAGCCTGGTTCAGAGGTAACCAGAAGGGACGCTGGCATGCCGGGTGTAGATGACGAGAGGGGACTTTGCTTTTCTGTCTCCAAACTAGCTCTGACATTTGATGCAATGCGCTGTGAACACCCCTCTCACAGGAACCGACAGAATCTCCCTGCACTAGGACGCTGACACGGCGCTGGTCCTGGGTTGTCGCTGGGGACACTGGCGCTGTGACATCTGTGACTCCGAGGTAAGCAGGCCCCTACCCGAAGTCCCCAACCCCATGTGACCGGAGAATTTGGCTACGTCACAATATTTATGAGCTGCTTCTAGCACTCTGGAGAAATGAGCCGAATGCAAACTGCCATCTCAGATACTATAATCAAAGCTATTCTTGACGAGTTTTAGAACACCCTGGTGGGGATGTGTGTCAAACCGAGCAGGTGAACCTTTCTGCTGAGAACCTGTCTGTAGGAAAAGCTCTGATTGATAGCAACACCATGTGATTTCAAAAATGGAAGAAAACAGGATATGACGGCTTGAGCTTGGTTTCACTGGAATTTTAACTGTTCTTTGCCCTAGGAAACTAGAATAAAACCAATGAATTACATATTAAGAGGATGTTTAGGGACATGGAAGGTTGGCTCAGGTGGTACAGACTTGAGCAGGAAAGCCAAGTGAAAGCCCAAGGCTCTGAGTTCAAGCCCTAGTACCGACACACAAAAATAAAAAGAAAGAAAAGAAAAAAGAAAGGAAATCCAGCCAGGGCCGGACTATTAAGAAACAATGGGTCAGCTGGTCCAAGAAAGCCTGCAGCACTGACAGAGCCGCATTTAATATAAAAGCACACGATGATGTCGGCTCCTGTCCAGTCCATGTCCTTCACCGCCGCCTCACGTCACGCCCTGGGCCAATACTGGATCAACAGCATTACATTGTCTTCAAAATCTGTATAAAATGTTATCTGAACCCCAACGGGAAGAAAAAAGAATTACTTAAATCTTTAAAAAGTTCCTTACAAAGTTGACTGTATAAAATGCTAAAACAGAACCCATATGTACAAAATGCCATTCGTTGCTTATGAAAATAAGGGGACCCGGGTGCAGAATAAAACAATTTTATACAAAAAATGAGTATTGCATTCAAATCAATCTTTAAAAAAAAAAAAAACCTTACAAAAAAAGGAGGAATCTGGAACTATCTCGTTCAGAAGGACGCCCACGAGGTGCAGGCTTGCTTCTCTGTCAGCGAACCCCGCGGCGCTCAGAGGCGGCAGCCTGCTTCCTCTGGGAAGGCCGGGCCTCAGGGCTGCTGGTCACCGCCTCGATGGGTACTTGGAAGCCCAGTCCGTCCTGCCGTGCACGGGCTGTGCGGCTGGTGGCCGGGGCACGAGCCCCACGGTGCTTCTAGGCTGGGTGTGGAAGAAAGGTCGCCCTGGATGAGGCCGCACGGCCTTCAGCGAGGAGTAGCCTGCAGAGAGAGACAGACCAGTATGGCTCCACCTTGCGCGCTCACTGAGCTTTTCTACTCAGGATGGACGCTCTTACCACATGAGTCGCCGCTCCTCTTCTGGCTTTTAGGGTAGTTTATTGGAGGTAAGAGTCTCCTGGGATTTATTGCCCAGGCTGGCTTTGAACCAAGATCCTCAGATCTCAGGCTTCTGAGTAGCTGGGATTACAGGCGTGAGCCACTGGAGCCCAACTCCTCATCATCCTTGGCCTCCTCTTGCTACCCGCCAGTCCGGCACGCCCGTCCTGCTCTCGGGTGGCCTGGCTAGGGTCTCCCTGACTTTCCTGGCCTGCCTGGCCCGGGAGACCGGAAGGGGGCTCGCGCCCCGGCCTCCTGAGGCAGGCTCCTCAATGGCTCAAATTAGAGTTTGCACCCACACACCCACCCCCACAAGCCCTACTTGCTGCCAGTTCTATTTTTTCTGTAGCACTTTGGAGCATCTGCCTTGGTATATGTCATACCTACTCAACTCGCTCACTGTCTCCAGGGTCCCGTCTCCCCAGGCCGGGAGCTCTGTCTCACCTGCCTACGCCAGGCCCAGCATGCAGCAACTGTTCAGCAGCAAACAGCTGAAGCAGCCCATCCACAGCCAGGGAGCTCACCTGGGGAAGGGTCCGGAAGGGGCGCCAGGCCGACCCTCTGCATAGCGGAACCGATTTCTTTTTTCAAAAAGGAAGGGATGTAATTTCCAGTCAGTCCACTAGAACTTGTAGAGCCGGAACCAACTGATTCACAAAAAATCCACAAGTTTATTGTTACCAAGACACATTCACATGATATCAAGAGATTCCTAAAGCACAGCAGTGCCGAACAATAATGAACTTTTTACTTTTATAGGATGAAACACATGAGTTCGGATGAAAATGTGGAATCTGAGTAGTGCATTCCACCATACCACACCATCAGAAAAATGGGAAGGACAAAGCCAGGGTTTCTGCCTGTAACCCAGCGACTCCGGAGACAGATCAGAGGACCAAGATTAGAAGCAAGCCTGGGCAGAAACAATCCACACACTCCATCCCATTTAGTCTGTCTGGAGACCTGGCTCAAGAAGTATGGTGCCAAGTTGTGGGTGCTGAGCCCTGAGTTCAAGCCCCAGTTTCAAGGGGCTGAATGGTACAGCACTGGTCTAGAAACAAAAGACCTTGGGTTCAATCTTTAGGAAAAAAAAAAAAAGAAAGAGAAAGTAAAAGGGAAGTAAGCCAGGCACTGGTGGCTCACGCTGTCATCCCAGCTACTCAGGAGGCTGAGATCTGAGGATCGCGGTTCAAAGCCAGCCCAGCAGGAAAGTCTGTGAGACTCTTATCTCCAATGAACCACCAGAAAATGGGAAGTGGGGATATGGCTCAAGGTGGTAGAGCACTAGTCTTGACAGTGCCCAGGCCCTGAGTTCAAGCCCCACGACCAACAGAAAAAAAATGAAGAATGGGCTAAAATAAATAATACACTATAGCTTTATATGGTTTAATATATAATACATATGTATATGTAATATATATAGATATTATAGAATATATGTCATGTATAATAGGTTTATATATATATATATATATATATATATATATCATATACCCTATGATACATATAAATACAACTGCTACATATTCATTAAAATGAGATCACAACCCAGGATCATGTTTCTATAAACTTTAAATGATGCAAAGCCAGGCTATGAATTTCACACATTTTAAAAATTTATTTTTTACTATCTTTAAATAGCTGTACAAAGGAGTTTTAATTCAGTATGACATTTTCACTTATTTATTTATGTCAGTCGTGGGGCTTGAACTCAGGACCCAAGTGCTGTCTCTCAGCTTGTGTGCTCAAGGCCAGTGCTCTACCACTTAAGCCACAACTACACTTTTGTTTTACTTTTGCTGGTTCATTGGTGATAAGGCTCTCAAGGACTTTCTTGGCCAGACTGGCGTCACACCACGATCCTCAGCTCTCAACCTCCTAGTGTGAGGATAGGTGTGAGTCACCAGTGCCAGCCATGCTTTTGTTTTGTTTTTCTTTTCCTCCTTTTTCTTAAAAAAAAAAATGTCAACAGTGAAAAAACTAGAGCAGGCTGGGATGGAGGATGGGGAGGGAAAAGTCTAGAGGCCAGGCTTCACGTTTGACTTATTTTTGTTGTTGGAAGTTGAGGGAAGGACTCACTAGCTAGCCCAGGTTGGCCTTCAACTCAGGGTCTTCCTGCCTCCACTTTCCAAACACCTTGCATCACGATGCCTGCTCACGATGTTTGGCATCTTCCTGGGAGGTGGGTGTATGGGCACTGATACATCATCTCTCTCTCTATCTTAAAATAAATGGTGATGAGTGAATGAAGGAAGGAGCAACGAAGATAAGATTGCCTTGGCACTGTGGGGGGAAGCGGCACACAGTAGGGCTGCCTGTGGGGATAAAGCAGCACACAGTAGGGCTGCCTGTGGGGATGAAGTGGCACACAGTAGGGCTGCCTGTGGGGATGAGGCGGCACACAGTAAGGCTGCCTGTGGGGATGAAGTGGCACACAGTAGGGCTGCCTGTGGGGATGAGGCGGCACACAGTAAGGCTGCCTGTGGG